GAGGCTGAGGGGAGTGGATTGCCTGAGCCCGCGGGTTCGAGACCCGCCTGGGCAACTTGGCGAGACCTCATCTCTACAATAAATCAAAAGAAAAATCAGCCGGGCATAGTAGCGCATGCCTGTAGTTCCAGCTACTGGAAGGCTGAGGCAGAAGGATCGCTGGAGCACAGCAGGTCGAAGCTGCGGTGGCCGGGAGTGGCCACTGCACTCCAGTCCGGGCGACAGAGTGAGACTCCAACTCGAAAAAAAAAAAAAAAATACATATATATATATAAATATATATATATATTTCAATACTTGATTTGAAGACTCACTGTAAAACTTTAAAAGTCAAGACAATGTAATACCAGATTTTAAAATGCACAAGTATATCACTGGAACAAACTGTAGGACAGGAATAAATCCATGATTTTATTAATACGGGACATTAATACAGGACATTAATACGGGAGAAAAACAATTCCGACCACACACCACAGTCAAAAACAAACATAAGAATTATGTTAAATGTATAAGATAAAATTATAAAGGTCCTAAAAGAAAACTTGAAAGAACAGCTTTATAACCTAGTGGAAGGCAAACAATTCTGCACAGAAAAAGCACTAATAAAAACACAGAACTAGGAATAGAAGGGAACTTCTTCAACAAAATAAAGGGCATTTTTTAAAAACCCACATATTAACATTATAATTTTCAATGATGAAACACTGAAAGTTTTTTCTCTAAGATCAGAAACAAAACAATGATACCCACTTTCACTACTTCTAGGAGTTTCAGCCAGTGAATTAGGCAAGAAAAAGACAGCCGGGTTCGGTGGCTCAGCCTGTAATCCCAGCACTTTGGGAGGCTGAGGTGAGTGGATTGACTGAGCACACAGGTTCTAGACCCGCCTGGGCAACTTGGCGAGACCTCATCTCTACAATAAATCAAAAAAAAATTAGCCGGGCATGGTAGTGGGTGCCTGTAGTTCCAGCTGAGGAAGGCTGAGGTGGAAGGATCGCCGGAGCCCAGCAGATTGAGGCTGCGGTGGCCGGGAGCATGCCACTGAACTACAGTCTGGGTGACAGAGTGACACTCCAACTCAAAAATAAATAAATAAATAAATAAAAGGCATTTATATTGAAAAGAAAATAAAACTACCTCATTCGTACTTAGCATGATCTTATATATAGAAAACCCTGAAGAATCTATTCCAAAAAAGTTAAAGTTAATAAACTAACTCAGAAAAGTTGCAGGATGTAAGATCAAAAGGCAAAGTTCAGTTGTATTTCTATATAATAGCAATGAAAACTCTGAAAAGGAAATTGAGGGGAAAAAAAATCCATCTACAATAGTATCAAAAAGATTAAAATGCCCAACAATAAATTTAATCAAGGTGGTATAAGACTTGTACATTAAAAACATCAAAATAAGCTGAGATAAATTAAAGAAACCCTAAATAAATGGAAAGACATTCCCCACGTTCATGGATTGAAAGATTTCATAGCGTTAACATGGCAATACCCCCCCAGTGTGACCTCTGGATTCAATGCAAACCCTATCCAATTCCCAATAGCCTGTCTTGAAGAAATGGACAAACTGATTTTAAAATTAACTGCAAGACACTCAGACCAGCTAAAACTATCTTCAAAAAGAAGAACAAAATTAGAAGACTCACATTTCATAGTTTCAAAACTCACTGTGAAACTATAGTAGTGCCAGGTGTGGTGGCTCACTCCTATAATCCCAGCACTTTGGGGAGGCCGAGGTGAGAGGATTGCCTGAGCCCATGGGTTCGAGACCCGCCTGGACAACTTGGGAAGACCTCATCTCTACAATAAATCAAAAAATCAGCCAGGCATGGTAGTGTGTGCCTGTAATTCTGGCTAATCGGAAGGCTGAGGCGGAAGGATCGCTGGAGCCCAGCAGGCTGAGGCTGCAGTGGCCAGGAGCGGCCACTGCACTCCAGTCTGGGCGACAGAGTGAGACTCCAACTCAAAAAAAAAAACAAAAACCACAACAAGACAAGGAGGCCCACGTTCACCACTCTTATTCTACACAGTACTGAATATCCTAGAGTTGTGAGGTGCAATAAAGATATAAAGGAAATCCAAACTGGAAAAGAGGAGGTCAAATTATCCCACTTTGCAGATGACATGATCTTCTGTATAGAAAAACCCAAAGGCTCTGCCTTTAGACTCTGCCAAACAACTCCTAGAACTGATAAATGATTTCAGTGAGGTTGTAGGATACAAAGTCAACATAAAAAATCAGTAGTATTTCTATACATCAATAACAAAATGGTTAAAAAATCAAGAAAGCAATCCCATTTATAATATCCATAAAAAATACCGAGGAGTAAACGTAACCAAGAAAACAAAAGACCTCTATAAGAGAAACTGCAAAACACTAATCAAAGAAATTGAAGAGGACACAAACAAATGAAAAGACAATCTATGCCCATGAATTGGAAGAACTGATATTGCTAAAAATGACCACACTACCCAAAGCACCTACAGATCCAACGCAATCCCTATCAAAATATCAATGACATTTTTCACAGAAATAGAAGAAAATAACAGTAAAATTTGCATAGAAATTGGCAAGACCTTGTCTCTAAAATAAATTTAAAAATTAGCCAGGCAAGGTGGCATGCATCTGTGGTTCCAGCTACTTGGAAGGCTGAGGCAGAAGGATCACCTGAGTTTAGCAGGTAGAGGCTGCAGTAGCCATGAGTATGCCACTGCACTCTATCCTGGTTAACAGAGTGAGATTCTGATTTAAAAAATTAAAATGTAAAATATGAAATCATAAAACATTAAGAAAATAATACAGGAGAAATTCTAGATGACATTGAGTTTGTCAATGACTTCTTAGAAATTACACCAGGCCAAGTTTGGTGGCTCAGCCTGTAATCCCAGCACTTCGGGAGGTTAAGGTGAGTGAATTGCCTGAGCCTATGGGTTAGAGTCCAGCCCAGGCAACTTGGCAAGACCTTGTCTCTATAATAAATCAAAAATTAGCCAGGCGTGGTAATGTGTGCCCATCGTTCCAGCTACTTGGAAGGCTGACGTGGAAGGATCACTGGAGCCCAGCAGGTCGACACTGGGGTGGCCATGAGTATGCCACTGTACTCCAGCCTGGGTGACAGAGTGAGACTCCAACTCAAAAAAAAAAAGAAAAGAAATTACACCAAAGCTAAATCTATGAGAGAAAAAACTGGTAAGTTGAACTTCATTAAAATTAAAAATTCCTACTCTGCAAAAAACAGTGTCAAGAGAATTTGAAGTCACAGAGTGGGAAAAATATTCTAAAACAACATATCTGGTACAGGACTGTTTTCCACAATAAACAAAGAATTCTTAAAACTCAACAGTAAGAAATTAATAACCTGGTTAAAAAATGAGCCAAAGATCTTAACAGACACCTCACCAAAGAAGATATACAGATGTCAAATGAGCAAATGAAAAGATGTTCCACATCATATGTTGTCAGGGAAATGCAAATGAAAACAACGAGATACTACTATACATTTAGTAGAATGCCCAAAATACAGACTGCTAACACTACCAACTGCTGACAGTGATATGGAGCAACTGGAACTTCATTAAAGTTTTAGGGAATGAAAAATGTATATCCTTTCTAAAAGATAGCTTGGCAGTTTCCTCACAAAACTAAATATACTCCTACCACATAATCCAGGCTGGGTGCAGTGGCTCACGCTTATAATTCCAACACTTTGGAAGGCCAAGGAAAGAGGAATGACTGAGCCCCAGAGTTTGATATCAGCCTGGGCAATATGGCAAGACCTCATCTCTACAACAAATCAAAAAAATTCCACCAGAAGTGGTGGCATACACCTGCAGTCCCAGCTACTTGGAAGGCCGAGGCGGAAGGATTGCCTGAGCCCTGCAGGTCAAGGCTGCAGTAGCCAACATCATGCCACTGTACTCCAGTCTAGATGACAGAGTGAGACTCTGACTCAAATAAATAAATAAATAATTTTTAACCTACAATAAATTAAATATTCTGAAAAATAAAATCATGACTGCAAAGAGATAACACAATTATCTTAAAATAATGGTTTTTTCTTCCTATCAAATTGACAACAGTTTTACCATGTAATACTACTGAGTGCTAGTAAGTTTGGAGAAATGGGAGCACTCATCAGTTGCAACATAAATTGGAACAAATTTTCTGAGACAAATTTGCAATATTTATTAAAATTTAATATGCAAATTCTGTTAGACCCAGTAATCCCACCCAAAAAAAGGTTCCTCATCTATGAAAAATGATGATTCCAAGCACAGTGGCTCACATCTATAATCTCAGCACTTTGGGAGGCGGAGTGAGAGGATTACCTGAGCTCACAGGTTCAAGACCAACCTGGGCAACAGTAAATCAAAAAATCAGCTGGGCATGGTGGCACATGCCTGTGGTGCCAGCTACTTGGAAGGCTGAGGTGTAAGGATTGCCTGAGCTCAGCAGGTTGAGGCTACAGTGGCCATGAGTGTGCCACTGCACTCCAACCTGGGCGACAGTAAGACTCTCACTCAAAAAAAGCAAGAAAGGAAAATGATGATTACTGCAGCATTGTTTCTATATGATGCTCCATATGATGGAGTACTATAGAATCATCAAAATGTAAATAAAAGAGGTAGATTTAAATGTTTTAAGGAAACAAATTTTAAGATATTTTATTAAGTAAACACATCAAAGTATTTCTGATCTTTGCAGAAAAGGGATTTAAAGTTCATTAAAGTTGATGAAGAAATCAACCATGCATAATAACAAAACTTAGATTTAAACTGAAGACCCTAACCTCAAAGCATCATTTCAACATGTCAGAAATAAACTAATTTAAATTCTGTATTTAAATAACACAAGAAAAACAATAAAGGGACTACAAAAAAATAAAAATTCACAGCATTTTATGAAGAAAAATAAAAGAAAAATTCAGTTTTACTAAAATTTTCAAATATACTAAAGCTCCATACTTAAAATAAATTAAGTTAATTTACCCCCTGCAAAGAGATATCCCAGCGTTCTGAGTTTCTGAATTTGGACAGCGGTGATTGAACATGGACATCCTCTGGTTTTGCAGTTAACATCTTTCGTATCTGAAATTAATATGAGAAAATAATCAGTTTAATTGAAATATGTATAAGAGCTGAATCAGCTAACAGAACCATTATATTACCCTGCATTAATCTTTTGCTAACAGTTTTAAAGAATTTTAAATTCAGTGTTTAATTTATACACAATTAAGTATAATTTTATTTAAAAACCTCTTATTGCCTATAAAGGTAGATAAATGAAGAACCACAACAGCTTCTTAGCTATTCTCTTGCCTGCAGTCTCCTTCCCTTCCAATCTTCCAAATGTGAGCTATCATAATACATAAATGTAATGATGGTTGCTATACTTAAAATATAACAATGGCAATCATTACTTACAGATAAAGTTCTTTCACATCACCCACACGTTAAAAGCTCTATAACCCAACCATGTTGAGTTACTCAACCTTCTTCAAACATGTAACTTATTTTATTTTATATCTCTAGACTTTTGTATATACTGCCCCTCAATCCAGAAAACCTTTCACTTTATTCCTCCTCTGTGAAGTACTCCAGATTATTGCCAAAATTATTCTTTTCTCCACACAATCAACACCCTCACACTATGGCATTCCTTTTACTGGGTATTAGTAGTTGGTATATTTATGTTACATTATTTATATTGCACATGTCATACCATATTATAGTTATTTGTCTATATATCTGTCTTCTTCTCCAGGCTCTCCTGAAAGAGAGGTCCCTGCCTTATTCACTTTTGTATCTCCAAAGTGTGTGGCTCATGATGTGCTGAATAATAAATAAATGCATAGATTGTAACCACAAGTTTCAAATCATTTGTTTAAAAGTTAAATATTTGCAATATCAAAATAATTGCAAAAGATAAAAATATCTAATTTTCACATTAAAATAAAGTTACAAGGCCAGGCACGGTGAGTCACATCTGTAATCCCAGCACTCTGGGAGGCCAAGGCAGGAGGATCGTTTGAGCCCAGGAGTTTGAAATCAGCCTGGGCAACATAGCGAGACCTCATCTCTATTAATAAATAAACAAACACATAAAGTTATATATGATGATTAACCTTCAACTTCAACCTACAAAATATAACATATAATAAGCACTATATCAACTATAAGCAGTAACAATTATGAAATTGATTTTTAAAAAAAGCCTGAGTGAGGAGGACAAAAGAAATTTGAAGGAAGTATATTCAAACTCTTATTTCACTGGCACCTCTGAGAGACAAAGCTAATCCTCCTGAGTACCAGTAACTTCTTATTTATTGCTGCTCTGTATTAAAAGGCCCCTCTTTATAATTCTTTATCTGCAAAAGACAATAGTATCTCTAAATTAATTATTTGCCTCATATTTTAATTAGGAAGCAACAGGGTAAGGGAAGGGCTTCTGGCAGCTCACATCCACAGACTCTTTGTAAGTAGGGTATTCAGCCTATACTGGATTCTGTCATAATGCATGTTCCAAAAAAGGCCATACCAATAATGGCCACCCTACATTTTCTTCCTACAATGTGACACTGACAGTACTCCAACATCAGGACGCTGTTTCTTCTTCTTGAATCTGGGCAAGCTGTGACTTCCAAGGATAGTCATAAAAGGCAACATAGCTTCAGCCCGGCTTAGATGTGCGTCTTTATTCTCCTACCTTTCCTCCCCTCCCTCTTTCTCTATCTCTTTCTGTGCCTCTCAGCACATACCTCAGAGCCCTGGGTCAATAAGTAAGAAATTTGGATACCCTGAAGCAACTATGCTGAAAAGATCACATGAAGAGGCTAAAAAGAGATAAAGATGCACCAAGATGTTTGAGTCTTCCTAGCACAGGCATCAAGACAAGTTAGTGAGCAAGCTTCTAAGAAAGATTATTTCAGGCTCCATGAATAGGTAAAGAAAAAGTGGTATGTGTGTTTATATAAACATATACACACACAATGGAATATAACTCAGTCTTAAAAAAGAAAAATCTTGCCATCTGCAACAACATGAATAAACCTGGAGGACATTATGCTAAATGAAATATGCCAGACACAGAAAGACAAATACTGCATGAAACCACTTATTTGAGGAATGCACACAACAGTCAAACTCGAGCAGAGAGTAAAATGGTGGTTGCCAGAAGCTAGGAACATAAGGAAATGGTGTGATATTAATAAAAGGGTTCCCTGAGCCCACAGGTTCGAGACCTGCCTGGGCAACTTGGCGAGAACTCATCTTTACAATAAATAAAAAATTAGCCAGGTGTGGTAGCGCGTGCCTGTAGTTTCAGCTACTTGGAAGACTGAGGCGGAAGGATCACCAGAGTCCAGCAGGTCGAGGTTGCAGTGGCCGGGAGCAGCCACTGCACTCCAGTCTGGGTAAGAGTGAGACTCCAACTCAAAAAAAAAAAAGGGTTCAAAGTTTCAGTTACTCAAGATGAAGAGGTCTCAGATCTACTATACACCATAATGCCTATAGTTAATACTGGATTGTGTACTTTATTTGTTAAGAGGGTGCATCTTAAGCGTTCACACACCAAAAAAAATAGTAAAAATAATAAAGAGGGCAGAGGAAAACTTTTGGAGAGGATGGACATATTTATGGCATATATCTCCAAACTCCTCAAGTTGTACAGCTTTTTGTATGCCAATTATTCCTCAAAAGGGTGGTTTAAAACAAGAAAAAAGATGGAAACATGGAAGGACAAACACAAAACATGTTTAACTGTGATTATCTCTGAATGGTAAGATAAGAGATCATTTTTATTTTCATTTTTGTGTTCTATAGTTTCCAATTTTTAATAGGAATAGAATACAATTATTAAAGTCAAAAAAACAGTAAGCATTTAAAGCTCCAGAAAAATCTCTACTGCAGCTTTATGGCCAATAAGCTGCAGGTTTGTATCTCTCACTCCAGTATTGGGATTGGAGGGGCAAGCAAATTTCAGGTACAACTACTCTGTTGATTTGTCCTATATTCATTTTTTTAATATTTAATTGATCAAAAATAATGTAAGCCTTTTGCAACAATCTTATCTGCTCTGAGACAAATATTAATCATGGTCTTAACTGTGTACAACCAACAAAGATTCCAAGTTATTAATGATTCTGAAAAGCTAATATTATAATTCCAAGAAGTAGCTGCTTACAATTTAAAAACTTGAAAACAACCCCAAAATACTATAATAGGATAGTGGTTAAATTAACTAGGATAGATACACATATATAATAAAATATAATATAGCCATTTAAAATGTTCACCGCTGTTTTCTTGGTACTTATGCCTCCCATAAAACCCAATACATGTTAAGTAATGTATAAAAAACTACTGAGCAATGCTTTTTGAGTCAGGGTCTCACTCTGTTGCCCAGGTTGAAGTACAGTGGCACAATCTCACCACAGTCTTGATCTCCTCAGCCTCCTGAGTAGATGGGACTACAGGCATGTGCTACTTTTTTTATTTTTGTAGAGACAAGATCTCACTATGTTGCCTGGACTGGTCTCAAACTCCCGGGCTCAAGCAATCCTCCTGCCTCCCAAAATGCGAGGATTACAGATAGAAGCCACCACACCCAATTAGAGTAATGCTTTATAACAGAGTACATTTATTTTATATATTTGCTTATGTCCTTTTTTTTTTTTTTTTTTTTGCGTCAGGGTCTCCCTCTGTCACCAAGGCTGGATCATGACGATCAGGGCTCACAGCAACCTCAACCTCCTGGGCTCAGGCAATACCTCCATCCCTGCCTTCTGAGTAGCTGGGACAACAGGTGTGTCCCACCACGTCCGGCTTTTTTTTTTTTTTTGTAGAGACAAGGTCTCGCTATGTTGCCTAAGTTGGTCTCCAACTCCTGGGCTCAAGCAATCCACCCACATCCACCTCCCAAAGTACTGGGATTACAGGCATGAGCCACCACACCTGACACAGAGTAGATTTAAATTTAGATTTCAGAAAGTGACGTTCACAACATATAGTTAAGTAGGAAAAAACAGATTATGAAACAAACAGTATTTTGTAGTTTTCTATTTTTTAATGTATCTTTGTTTATTATAGTTAGATAGATCAACAAACTGGAAGGATACACAATGAAGTATTAATTCTAGTTTACTTATTTTTCTTCAATTGAATTATCTTTATAAGAAACTAGTATTGCTTTAGAAATATTTTTAAATACTTTAAACTAAAAACATATCAGTGTCTTGCCCCTAAATCCATCAAAGCTCTCATCCTTTCAGTAATTTTTTTCCACTAGATGCTTTGAGAGAAAAAGCAGTGATATAAGCTATTAACAAGAATTTAATGTTAATTTTCTGAGAAATCCTATTTTTTTTTTTTTTTAGTTGGCATCTCACTGTCACCCAGGCTGGAGTGCAGTGGCACACTCATGGCTTACTACAGTCCTGATTCCCAGGCTAAGGTACTCTCTCTGCTTTAACCTCCCAAATAGCTGGAACTATAGGCGTGCAGGCGTGCACTACAATGCTTGACTAATTTTTTTATTTTTTGTAGAGATGAGGTCTTACTATGTTGCTTAGGCTGGTTTCGAACTCCTGGGCTCAAGCAATCCTTCTGCCCCAAAGTGTAGGGATTACAGGCATGAGCTACCACACCTAGCTGAAGTTCTACATTTATTTATTCATTTATTTTTGAGTTTGAGTTTCACTTTGTCGCCCAGACTGGAATGCAGTGGCATGCTGCTCACAGCCACTGCAGCCTCAACCTGCTGGAGTTCTACATTTTAAAAATGCACTAGTACAACTTTATGTTTATATTATAGTTATACAAATGAGTAAATTTATTGTAGATAATGAGTATCAGAAAAAAGATTAAACTAAGGAAAGAGAGAAGACTATAATAAGCCTTGTGGTGTTGGACTGGAATCATAATTATCCATACTGACCGCAGGGTTTTTTTGTATAGATGTATAAATAGGCAGATAGAGAAATACATATAGATATGAGTGCTTTCTGTGTGTGAATAGGTTATGATACATATATATTTATCTAGTCCTCTCTACTGAGAAAGCCTAAAAACAATGACATGCCAGTGGCAAG